TGAACCCTAAGCATTTGATGCAGTTAAGACATTTAGAGACTTAGGATGTGTTTTGGGCATAATCAGCATGTGTTGCAGTTTATTTGGAAAATTCACCCTGAAAAGTAGAGGACCCTAAGGACATGCACTCTCATGTGTAAGCACAGTATTTTCTTACACGTGTGTTAAATGTCCTTCTTTAGTAATGGTTTGCTTATGTATACAGGGTGTGGGACAGCCGTGCATGGCAGGTGACCAATACTTTTCCAGCTAAGCAGTACATCCAGACCCACTGTGATGTCTCTCCAAATGGAAACTACTTGGTGTCCAGTAGCAATGGCTTTGGAGGACAGGGGTGTGAAGCCACGGTAAGACCTCTGGAGATATGTGTTTGTTGTTGTCTGTAAAGCTCTAAATGCACAGATATTGGGTAGATTGAGGCTGTCATTAGGTTATTTATTGTCTGGGTTGTATTACGTTGGTGTGAAAGACACATTAATTGGAATGAACAATTTTTCTTTGCTCTGCCAGTTTAAAATTATGAACTGATGCAGCACAATTTGTTTTGTGTTTGTTGTCTTTGACTGATTTTCTTGTGGGCTTCACTTCCAACTAACAATTTAATATAGAGATTTAGAGTGAGTATAATACAAAGTAATATAGGTTAAGGTTTTGCCCTCATGAAAAACGGATCAGATTATTTTTTTCACAATATCTCAAACACTCCACTGATTTTGCCGATGCTTTTGGAACATAAAACACTGAGATTTGTGATGGGTGGACTTGTGTCTGTGGGTTACTAGCTCTGGGACCTGCGTCAGCCTGGCTGCAAAGTTGTGGAGTACAGAGGCCACCTCCAAACCACAGCCTGCTGTGTGTTTCTCCCCATGCATCCTGGTGGCACAGCTCAAGTAGGAACATCCTCCCATGACAGCTCTGTCAAAATCTGGGATCAACATACAGCAGGTAACACCTCTACTCACTGATGAAACCATTTCAACACAAAATAAATAATGCAAAACCACTCTGCCTTTTTTTTTTATCTCTGTGCTGGCTTTGCTGCAACCTTGTCTCTCCTGTCCTCTGTTTAGTTTGTTTAGGGACGCTGTCTCTGGAAGGTGCTGGTCCACTGGTTTCATTGGCACCGAATGATTCCAGCAATCTGTTGTGTGCCAGCTTTAACAATGGCCTTCATCACATCCAGGTGGACCAGGGACCACAGCAGGCTCAGGGTTCTGGTGCAGGTGGTGCAGGGGGTCTGGATGTTAAAGTTGTGGCACGTTTTTGACACCCAAGGAGTGTCAGGTGTGAATTATAATGTGAACAGCCAGAGACTCAGCGAGAACACATCGCTGGCTATGGAAATCAAGTCATTTTATTTTATTTATTTATTTTTTTACAGACTTTATTTCTATAAACATTTTTGATTTATTAGACTGCCATGCAGTGAAAAGAGGCGACAATAATGACGTATGGAAGATGCAACTTTTGTCCAATACTGGCCCACCACGGATGTCCATCATAGATACTCTTTATGGGGACTAAAAACAGGAAATCATACCTACAGTCACCACCAGAGTAACATGATGGAGGGCAGGATTTACCTGTTTTTTTTTTTAATATAAAAACTGCCACTTTATTTAGAAATATGTACCATGAGGGTAAACAGTTCCAATAGGTGATTGTAGTTTAAATTGAGTGGTTCAAGTTCTTGCACAGTTAACTAAATTGCCAAAAGCTACTAGACAGCCTTTCGCTGTTTTGTTTTGTTGGTCTAGGCTCTGTATACATTGACTTACTTTGTCTGGCTGATGTTGTCTATTTAGCCCAAAGTAATATTTACAAACTTTTATGAGCTGCTATAGTTTGGTGCAGATGTTGTTTTGCTTTTGGGTGGTGAGATAATTGCAGTTTGGTCACCGTTTTCTACCACTGACAGTTCTGGCACTAGGTGGTGCTAATTAATCTTAACAACTGAACAACTGGACTAGTGGATTATTTTTGACAAACTGAACTGCCCAGATTACAAAGGATCAGATTGAGTGGATATCTCATAATTAACAGTACAAGAACTTAAGCACTCAATTAAATACAAACTAATGCACGGTGAAAAGAGGAGAAGTGAACCTGCTGTTTGGTCCGTTTTTATACATCATGAGCCATGAAGGAGAATTTGAAGCCCAGAATAAGCAATCGTCTTTTGTTTCCTGATGTTTCTTTTTTTGCTTTGTTTTTTTTGTTTGTCAGCAAATGTGATGTCAGCAAAAGAGCTTTTATTGTATGCTGATAATATTTATTAGTTTGTATTTCAACGTCAACCTGTTGGGGTTTAAAGATCAGGTCAGTACAACACCAAACTGTAACACATCTGGTTGCCATGTAAACGTAAATGGACAAAGACTTTTTTTCTTTTTAAAAAAATATAGAGATTCTGATATTTTTATGAAAAGCAACTGATAGTTGAATGTTTTTTGTAGTGTTAACTGTAATTTGTAAAAGTACTATGCAAAATACCAGAGTAATTCCACTTTTTTAATAAAACGTTGACTCAGTAAACACGGAAAATACAAAATATTGCAAAACTAAAGTTGAAATGCTGTGCAGGCTGTCCACATAAAACTTTCCAGCAGTTACTTTAGATCTTATTTAATCAAGGCTTATGAAGAATTTAAGTGTTGCAGATGTTGAAGTACACGCTGCAGTTTAGCAACACTTTTCATAAATAACTGAACTTGTTTTGGAGATATGAAACAAACTATTATTGTATTTACAGTGTAGGTTTAAACAGTTTAAATACAACAGCATTCACCTTTTTTGTTTTACAGATCTAGATGGCCATCTGTCACAAAGACAGTTGTTGCTTAAGCTTCCAATTTAATCAAACAAAAAGGTTTTGGTCAGGGATGAGGACCAAAATTACTAACGTATAGTTTATGTGCTGCGAGATGAGTTCAGATACAACATATGGATGCTCATCTGTGGAATATACTCAGAGTCACTTTATTAGGTACATTTGTTCAACTGTGCCAGTTGGGCTGGTCTGAGTGTTTCAAAAACTGTTGATCTGCTGGGATTTTCCCACACAGCCATCACTATGGCTATCTAAAAATTGAAAATATCCAGCAAGTGGCAGCTCTCTGGGTGAAAATGCCTTGCTGATGTCAGAGGAGAATAGAGAGAACGATCTGAGCTGATAGGAAGGCAACAGTAACTCAAATAACAATTTGTTACAACTGAGATTTACAGAAGAGCATCTCTGAACGCACGACCTGTCAAACATTGAAGTAGATGGGCTAGAGCAAAGACCACACCAGGTGCCGCTGCTGTCAGCTAAGAACAGGAACCAGAAGCTACAGTTCACATGAACTCACCAAAAGTAGATAATAGAAGATCAGAAAAATGTTGCTTGGTCTGATGAGTCTTGATTTCTGCGTAGTGTTCAAATTTTAGTCTCAAAATTTGGTGTAAACAACATGTAAGCATGGATCCATCTTGCCTTGTATCCTCCTATGGTGGTATAATGGTGTCTATATTTTCTTGACATGCTTTAAGTTCCTCAGTCCCAACTGAGCGTTGTTTAAATACCACAGCCTACCTGAGTATTGTAGCTGACGACATCCTGCACAAAACTCAAATAAATCACAACTGCTTTCTTGAACATGACATGGTACTCAATCAGCCTCTACAATCACAAAATCTCAATCTAATAGAGCACCTTTGGGATGTGGTGAAACAGGAGATGTCATGGATGTGCAGCCAACAAATCTGTAGCAGCTGCTATCATGTTAATATGGATCAAAATCTCTAAGGAAAGCTTCCAGCACTTCACTGAATCCATGTCATGCGGTATTAGGGCCTTTCTGAAGTCAAAAGTGACCCAGTACCAGCATAGCGTATATAATAGAGTGTCGGGGGAGTGCATGTTGGTGTAGTCTTTGCTGAAAATGGGCTTGTTCCAGATAGATGATAGGTAGCAACTAAAGATTTCAAGGAAACTAATGAGTTTCGGTGATGGATTGTTCCAAGTATGATGGATTGTTCTGTCAAAAGGTGCTAAGGAGTCCCCACAGCAGTTATTCTATCTACCCTTGGGGAAGAAAACCAGTGGTAGAGAAGGTGAGATTTAGTTTTGTTTGGATATTTGTCAAGCTGCCAGATGACTCAGTTCATTCTGTGTGTTTGATATCGTATAATACAGCAATAAAAGCATTTCATGTCATAGTGGTAAAGCTTTATTGCTCTTTGTGTCTGATGACTTTTTATCTAGGTCACAGCCTTATATTTTATCCACCACCTTGCGTAGGACTGCTTTAAATTCATCCAGGTTAATAACACGGTTATATTAAACTATTTGTAGTAATACCATGAATGTGAGAGATGCAAATCTACAAAACAAAACACTCTTGTTGGTAAAGTTTACACAGGAAAGCTGCCAAGTACAACTTCATTTTTCTCTCATCAGGCACTGGCAATTTTCTGAAGGTTATTTGTTTTGCTCAGGGTACCACAAAAGCCTGTTTTGAGATCACTGTTTCCAATCCTTACTTCACTGTTTCAGTAATGCTCTTTCCATTTGTGATGGTCATACCGGAACTATAGGTTGTTCCTGAGCACTTTCTTACAATAAGAGTATTGAGTGTAAATAGGTGCATATACAACTTTTTACAGTATTGTGTATTTTTGCTGGGATAACTGGTGCCAAAAGTGATCATTTAATTCCCAATCTGGCTGAATGGGAGCACCTATTCCCAAACAATCACGGCCTTTTAGCAACCAAATAAAACCTTTTAGCACCACCTAGTGTTAGAAATATAATTGAAAGAGCACTTCCAGTAATTACTAGCGATACTACAATATTGAAGCAATTGTTCAGGTGAAGAATTGCAAACCAAATAGCCATTTACTTTAATCGTGTATTATGAAAGAACTGAGCATGAAGCAATGTGTTTCTCCTTCTCTCTCACACACACACACACACACATGCACGAACAAACTTTAGATCAAAAAAGATAAAGATAGATAAAGTGGAAGACATTCAGTCATAATCTGGTGTTTATTTAAATCTGGACCTCATTTTCACTCTGGCACAAAAAGAACTGCATCCCCACTGACAAGTTTTCATAAACACAAACACCCAACCAGAAAGTAACAGCAGGCAGAATAGTTTGGCTCTTCAAACATCAACTGAGTATAAAAATACTCATTAAAAACAAAGAAAGAAAGAAAAAGGCCTAAAATCATTAAGTGGTGATATGAAAAAGAAAAGCCATCTGCATCTACTCTTAAATCAGCAGTTACAAATAACAAAAGAAAGTAAGTGAAGTAAAAATAAAAGAAAATACATTATTGGCACGGCACAATATAAAAGCAGGCTATGTGGAAAACAGAGAAATACACAAGATACAGTACATTAAAAAGAAAGAAGTACATGTCATTCAGATGATGTTAACATGGAATAAACAGAATTTGAATGCAGCATATATTCTATGCCGAGAAGGATCTACTGGCATCTTTTGACATCTGCATGGTAAATGAAGAGACATACAGCTGCCAGCAACTTAAAACATAAACAATTGCTTCCATAATATCTAAAAGGAATGGTAACACCTCCCTCTTGGAGCTGGTTTGTGAGTGTTTTCAAGATGTTAGACAGCAGTGTAAGAGCTTCTGGGTACTTTAAAGAGAAACTGTTTCAAGTTGTATCTGTTTTTAAACCGTTTTCAGTGTCTAGAATTTAAAGTCTGATAAATAGCCACCAAAATCCTGAATTCGCTCTAAACCAACCGCATGGCCTTTTCCGAATTCAATATAATACCATCATATACTAAAACCCATCAACATACATCAATATCACACACTATACCTTTATTTACCTCACATGCTGCCAGTAGTTAAACAAAGGTCACTGGCCAGACTGTTCATTTACAGCTCATAAAATGATAATTTTGTTTTAAGTACTTTAAAATTGGATTCCATGTCAGCGACACAGTGATAATGGAATGACGGGAGAGAGTCTGTCCGGCTCACGATTGTAATGATAGCAAACAGCATACACAGTTTAATCATCAGTGCAGAAGAACAACACTTATAACACAATTCCAAAAGTAATCAACTTCTGGCTATTTCAACCCCATCACACATACTTAAGGGCTCTGCCTAGGCAGTCAATAACATGAATATACTGTAATGCAATGCAACATTATAGGCATAAAAGCTAAGCATGCAGGAAAATCTCCGGTTACACGGGATATATGGGTTACCTGGGCTGGCTGATGGCACTCTGGGCAAAATAAGGAGACACTAAGAGTTTATATAGTTATTGAAGTTTGCCATCATCAGGCTTAATTCTGAGATGGAGTTTAATGACAACCTAAAATCCATGGGAATTATCACACAGCGCTGGGAATCAGCTAACAAGTTCATTTTTCTATACTTGGCATAAAATTACACAAGATGAGATTTTCATGGTATAACAACCTACAGAGAAATCATGGTTTCAAGGTACAGAGTTATTGTGTATCGGTTTGAAGAAAAAACTAAACAAAAACGACCCTTAAAAGTACAGTAACAGACTTCAAAATAAAAGTAGTTGGTGGGTGGAGCTTTTCTCCCAATAGTATATAAGCAAATACAAATTGTATGATAAAGTCCACTATATAGGGTGTTTAAAAAAAAGAACCATCCAATTCTAACGGCTATATTATATGCATACAGGAGACAGCAGTAAATTTTAAAATGTATGGCTGAATTTAAAGTTTTACATAGAAAACCTACAATGTTCACAAGTGCCCAACATGTCCCCCTCTGGACTCACGGCATACGATAGTCAAATTCATCAACAAACTTTTGCGAAAATTTAACTGGAGCCACTGCTGTTGGCAGTTGTACCAGCAACCGCGTAAAACTCATGAATCCCTTCTCTCTAGCAGTACATTTTGATTGTTACCTGTGAACACCTACGGAATTAAAGCACTTTTAAATCGGATGATTCTCTTTGATACACCCTGTATACTGTGAAGCCAGAAGGCCACTGCAACCCTGACCGGTTGATACAACACCTTTCATTTACAATGCATGTCATAGCACCCACACTATTGAGAGAAACAAAATTACAGCCCACTACATATACTGGTAGTTGTTAATCAAAATGATTAACACAATCACGATATTTGATGTATGAACATAAAAAAACCCCAAAACATCAGCACCACCACCACCTCCAAAAAAAGAAAAAAAGATCTGCACAGCATTAGGGTCATTTGTTATAACAAAACGGTGATTACGGAGTTCAGATTTAATAACTTAATTTAGAGTAAAGGATGTTGGGACATTATTAAGGAAGACGTGCTATAAACATAGACAAGCAGTGCAGGGGACATTCTCTTACACCAATCCATGGTAAGAAATGAGATGAGAGAAAACCACCTTCAGAAATATACAATTAAAAGAAAAAGAATATATCAAACCAATTAGTGAGGGCTATGGTGATGCAGACTAACAATGTACCCAAAGCATTACTTTTTAACACAACATTTTAGTGCATGAATCAGGCAGGCTGGTTTTAAACTACCATTAAAATACTCATAGGAGAAATAATCACTTTCATATTAGTTTCAAAAGCAGGGTTAAGTAATATCCAATACAATTTTTTCCCAGCAGTATTAAAGGCACTAAAACCTTTTTAATCTGCAAGTTCAGGTCAGATCCTATTACAATTGATTAAAAATTCTTACCATAACAGATGCGTCTGTGTTGAGACAGTTTACATATTTAGGATGATTAGCTACAGTTCAGATCACCAAAATAACTCCATGCTGGCATTTAAATAAAGAGTAAAAGGCTAGATTTAAACTCCAGCATTTCAACACAAAGTATTCTAAGATGCTGGAAAAAAATGAGAAGTCACATCTGAATTGTGAAGAGACCAATACATGATTTTAGCATACTTGATATCTCATTTGAGTTCAACATATGTTGGGTGAGTCCCTGAGATATTGCTGCCTGTCTGGTGTTGACTTTTTATACAGTGTTTTTCCATTTCACAAGGTTGCCCCTCACACATGCACACAAACACGCACACATATTCAAGTAGGTCACTGAACTGCATCTACACACATATTCAAGAAAAAGAGGTCCTGATGTCAAGCTTTTGTCACTATGAGGTGGTGATTCAACAAACTAGATCTACATTTTAACACTTTGGATGGAAAAATTGAATAAATAAATCTTGCTATGGACAACTTTCCAACATCTGGAATATACATATTAGAAACAACAATGCCCCCCGGTACCACACACCCTACGCCCTCCTATAGCAGTAGCTTCAAAAAAAAGGGGGAAAATGTTTTTGTGGACAAGAACTGAGACTTAACTCCCAGGTCATTTACAAGGATCAAATTAAGTAAATATATGTAAAATATGCTTATTAATCAAGCACAAGCATTGACAGTGCCTAAGCAAACCGTACAAATTTAAAATAGAGGAGTTTCGTAAAAGTAGCTGAGGTGTAGAAGTAGGCTAGCATTTAGAAAACCTCAGACATCTCCCGACAACTTCCTCAGAGATTTAAAAAAAACCTTCCAAAACTTTGAAAAAAAAAATCAAAGGAAAAAAAAAGTTGTTTGGTTTTGTGCAAGCTCCAATTCAACAGTTTCTCTTGTTACCCAAATCAATTCAAGCCATTAAAATACTGTTTTCATTTGTACTTTTGTCCCCAACTGTCAATAGAGTTGTAAATACAGTAGTTTTGTTGCTGTAGATGTGTGTAGGAGACAGTATTCTCTTATCAAATACATCAGTTTTTCCCCTGGACCCACCCCCCAAACTCATCTTTGCTTCAACCTAAAATGTGCCTACTGGTCTCCGGTGCGTTCAATGGTGTCTATTACACGACTCAGCCTGATATTGAGCAGCCTGATCTGAGTGTCCAGGTGGTCGATTTTTTCTTCCAGTGAACCCGCCCCACCGCCACGGCGCCAGTATGCTCCCACAGGGCCTGTCATGAAGTACACAGCCATGATGAAGCACAACGGGAGCACTGCGCGCTCAGGGTCACCCTCAAACTTCTGCAGGATGTAGAGGCAAGATAGGGCGAAGAGAGTGACGCGGGCTAGCCAGAAGAAGCGTCCAAACACAGCGTGCAGCAGGTAAAAGAAACCCCCCAGGAACATAGACAGGAACCAGTAGGCCAAGAGCACAGCGGCGACTAGGAGCAGGGCACGTGCTGGGGAGTTGGTGAGAGATGTGGGGCTGAAGTAGTGGCTGAGGTTTGAAGCTACATGTGTACAGGAAGAGAGGGAGAGACACGAGAGGAAGTTAAAATTGTTAACTGTTTCCAGAAGCATGTATAATTTCAGATGCGAACTTGGAAGATGAATTTTAAACATACAGTGCTGTTGAAAAGTATTTATGATTTTTGTCACACTCCCATGCTTCATCAGCAACTTTGTTTCTCATCTGTTATTGAGCTTCTTTAGATCATGATGATGTGTTGCTTTTTGAGATCCTTTAGCAAATTTCACTTTGCCAGACAGTTTCTATTCAAGTGATTTCTTCACACAACACATCTGGCAATATTTAGGCACAATTACTTTTACACACAGGGCCAGGCGGGTTTGGATAGCTTTTTCCTCTTAATAAATAAAATGAAATAATTTAAAGAACTGCATTTTTTAGTTACTCTGGTTGATATTAATATTGTCTAATATTAAATTTAGTTTGATGACCTGAAACATGCAAGTGTGGCAAGTATGCAAATGGAAGGGGACAAATATTTTTTCATGGGACTGTACGTCTTGGCATTTTTCATTTGTTACCTGCCTTCATCATTCGGACATTCCTAACTGACACGTCCTAAGCAGAAATTTGTAGACTTACAGTCAATGCCCATCACATCCAGCAGATCCGACCAGATCTTCCAGATGGTGTCCAGGAAAGAGTCCACTCCATGGACAAACCTCTCCGTTGCTTTGGAGAAAAACTATGAGAAAATAAACAACCAATAGCAAAAGCAGGGTGAAAAATAACGTCCATGTACTGAGTGCATCATCGTCTCCTATGAATTATGGCAGTCTGTTGGTCAGACTACAATGTGCATTTCCCAACTATTAAATAAAGCAGTGCTTTGGTGGCTTTTCAGTCCATAACCTATATTATGAATGATGTTGTCCTCATAGGGACTCAGTATGCAAAGAACTGCATTAAAACCAGGAAGGGCAGTTATGGGGTTGTTACAACTTTTGATCTGGCAGTGACCCAACACTATGGTCTCTGTAGCTATAAATCAAACCCGTTTACCAACTCTCCAGGCAACCGACTATTTTTCACTCTCAAATGGACAGGTAGCTAATGTGTTGATATAACAGTGGCCATACAGGATTATCATTGCAGCAGCAGGTGCTTTTATTACACCGTGAAAGCAGTGTTTTCATAAGAACCCTTTGGCTGCCCTTTTTAGTAACCCTTTTTCACTGCACACATAAACATTGCTGGAAAAGTCACAGGTGCAATGAAGCATTTACAGCTGTATTTAAGTAGTCACAAAGGCTGATGTAAGTACCAGAGACAGTGGTTTAACATCCACACATCACTGTCTTATGCCATAACTTCAATCAGGCACTCATTATTTGCATGTTCATCAGGTAAGCAGATGCACACTAAGACATGAAGCTCCATGTTACACTGTTAAGTCTACAGGAAAAACTACTCAACTCAACATATCTGACTTAATTACGCTTTGGCGGCTAAATGCAGGAAATAACATCACATTTCAAAATGCAGGAAATGCCGCAGGGCCAATGAGATCACATGAGCAGGCCCCAGTAGTTCCTTAATAAGAGCAGATATCTAATACATAAAGAAACATAAAGGCGGTTATGTTGTGAATCAATGAAGCTATACTTATTTTATTAAAATTTAGGCTTGATTTGACTTCACACACAATACACAAGAATGCAAGAATACGAAGCACATTTTTGTATTTACTACGATTTTATACCCAGGCTTTTTCTACCGACTTAAACAGAAAAGGGGGCGATAAAGGCTTTTTTTTCCAAAATGGCATCCGTGGAATTATTAACCAGGCCTTTTCCTGTTCGCCATGCTTGGACCACAAACCGTAATGGCAGCTAAGATAAGGCTCGTGAACAAAGCCAGCCCCCGACTTAGAATGATATTGGCCTAACTGACCTTGTATAACCCTCTAATGTTGTCCTCTCCGAAGACGCTGCTCAGAGTCTGATAGATGCCGTTAGCTGCCCGTCGGAAGCTGTTCTGGTTGCTGGTCCTGCTCCTGCCCGATTCGGCTTTTCCCAGCAAAGACGCGGAAAGCACCAAGAAAAACACGAAAAACCTGATTCTTTCCATAGCCCCAAGTGCCGAGGGTGTCAAAAGTAAATGTGTATCAAAAAATTTTCACTTAAACGATGAATAAAACGGGTAATTAGCTGCCGAAAGCGACACCTTGCCGGGCGATGACCGACGCTGGCCGTGACGGTGGAAATAACTTGTGGCGCTTTCATGGACGCTTTGTAAAATGCTCGATCTTCGCCTTTACTTGCCATTTGGGAGACTTTAGTAAAAGATTACCTGCAGAGTTGATTAAAACATTTAACACCCTTTAACACGGCTTTATTTTCTCAGATAGAGAACAAATATATGAACTACAGTCCACTAAAAGAATAAAGAAATCGTTTTTAGTGGGAATTAGTGCTTTGCTATATTTATTTGCAAATAATTGCATTAAAACTACAATCTACTTTCTATATATCTAAATATACAAAAAATTCTATATAAAAACACTATAACTATCCAGTGATATACTACTGAATGCATTTTAATCCCTTTTAGTCTCTTACGGCTGGGTATTGTGTTTTCCGTTTTCATGAAAAGCAGCATTGCCTTCGCGTGAATTTAAAACAGGTTAAACTCATCTGAGGCATCCTGCTGCCCTCTGGTGGATATATTCCCCATCTCCATCGTACCCCTTATTTCTATCAGCCCTTCCCCAACCTAAATGTACTATAATTTGTATGTGTAACCATTATTAAGCTGAACCCAAACTGTTAAAATGACTGCTAAATAGCAGCCCATCTTTGTTACGTGTTTAGTTGTAATCAGTTATCTACGATGTACATCTCTGTGATTTGTCCAGTTTTCATCTCCCATCACAAATACTGCATGCTTTGTATTTTTCAGTTTAAAACATGCTCTGCTTGCTGGTGTTTATGAGAAAGAAAATGTTAACAGCTGCTTATTAAACCACAGCCAGAAAATAAAAGCATTTATTACATCAAGTTCTTCTAGGTTACAAAGTGTTATTAGAAGTACTCTCAGAGGTTGGGTAATGGCACAGTTTTCCAGTCAGCAACATGAATAATAGAAATGCAAGGAGTCCCAGGTGTGAAACTGTAATACAAGTCTTAAGAAAATATGAATAGATGATGGGTTAATAAATAAATACAGTTGCTTTTAGGATATCACTACTGCAATTATGATAATTCAGACTCACCATCTGAGTTGTCAGAGATGGTCTTTGAGAATATCTTTGAGATATCATATGTGCTGTGTAACGTAAATGAGATTTGTCCAGTCAAAGACACACTCCACTAACTAAGAGACGTGAAGGGAAATTCAAGTATACGTGCAGTTCAGTGCCCCCCTCAGAGAGCTACTTGTTACTTGCATAGCTTTCCCCTGAGTTCTCATTATCCAAACCTTAACTACATTGTGGGACAGGAAGAAGTGGGTCAAGAATGAACTGAGACTGGTCAAAAATGTAAATCAGTAGTACTACTACTAGTGTAGTGGTGGTGGGTGGGATGGGGTGAGGCTCTGTCACATTCAACCACTAGATGGTAGGATGGGACTATGGCTTCTATAAGTATAGAGGCTAATGCTCTAATAAAAAAAACAACAAACAAAAACAAAACGCCCCCTCCATGAATAAAAAATGCCAGAAAAGGCCAATAATGTAACAGAAGCAGTACTACAAGAGTTACAAAGAAAAAAAAAAAAAAAAAAAAAAAAAAATGCACAGGTGATACAGGTAATAAATGCTGATACGTCTCTTCAAAGTCCTTCCAAAAGCAAGTCTCACTCTTATTTCAGTAGTTTTTTGAAATTTGCTTGAAGTTCAATTCCCTCCCTCCCATAGAGACAACACTGAATCAGGTAAAAGCTAAAAGGTTTGTCGACTTGACCCTTACAAGCTTTCAAAGAGCTTTTTATTCCAGACGTTGTGGGCTAATTATACCAAAGTCCTTCGAGCAGGAAGTCTCACCACTCCGCAGCTATCTTGAAATGTCTCTGGGGACTTATTTGGAAGTAATAGGCTACCTAAATTAAATTTAAACTCACTGCTGCCTGGAATCCAAAACTACAAGCATAGAAGCACTAGTCAAATCTGATAGATTTGTTCTCCATTACATATATACTAAGTATTAGGCTACAGGGCAGTGATTTTTTAACTAAAAGCAATCACGACTTGGACTTTCCTCAAGTCAAAAACACGTTTCTTAGTTTACTCTCACAGGTTGTCTTTATGTTCCGAAGATATGCTTCGTCCAGTAGGAGAGCAGAGAGAACGACAGACAGACTTACGAGGCAGCTATGTTGCTACACTGGGTCGGTAAACGAACTAACTACGAGCAGCGGAAAGAGCTGGACTTAAATACAACAGGTGAGCGAATAATGGCGCACAGGTGCTGCAGCGGGAACTTGGATAAGCCACGCCCACTCCGGGAGGAGGCGAGCAAAATTAATGCTCACTTGCACAACCACGCACGAGGGAGAGAAAGAAAAATAGAACAGCAAGAGGAGAAGAGAAAGGCAGGTGTTCCACTTGGAGAGCAGTTGGTACTATGACAGATATAAATATGTAGGAGCTTGTATTCTTCTTCTGAATTCTCCCATGAACTTCAGTTCTCAGAGTGCCACGTCTCTCACTCGCCTGTCTTGTCTCTGTGGTCCTTCTGCTTACTTCTCCTCCTCCGTGTGTGTTCGGTCTGCAGTTGCCATGTAACAATATGTGGTAACCAAGCAACTATGCTGGCAAAGTAACCAGCGCAGTCCTGACAAAGGGGAGCACAGGACAGGCATTTTTTAACCTTGGTGCAGCATAATTTAATGAAAATACAGCTACACCCTATGGCAGAATATGAAGGAGTATTTATTGTGTAATTAAATTTTAGCGAGACTACCACTCTGTGAGTTAAAAATGTACGGACGGGCTCCAAGAGTGACCTTCATGACAGCAGGGGGTGCATCGTCTGCTGTTGGTCCCGGATCATACAATGTGAGCCAGTCCAGTTACAAGATATCAGGTACTTACAAGGAAAAATATCTGTCCTTCCAAAATCTTTTTTTTTCTTCTTCAGAAAACTGTAAAACTTTAAGTTAACTTAAATTAAATTTAACTAGCTTGCAAAGAAAGAACGTCGAATATTTAGGCTTACAGATTTGAATCTGCTTATACACTTTCAATTGATAAAAGTTAAATTAATATGTCTTGGAAGTATAACTCAATATGTAAGCAAAAAATTTTCCTGCTGCTTTGTTGTTTCACAGTTACATAAGTGTATTAGAAAATAAAGCGTCCTGCAAGCTTGCAGTCATTTGTATATCTCACCTTGGGAAAATTTTCACTGTTGCAGATGGCTATGCACCATTCCTTTCCTTGAGTGCCAGGCAATCAATATTCTCCAAAGACAATGAGAGTTTACTAGGACCTGGACACTATGACTGCTCACCTGTCAAGGTGAGTGATCCATTTAATTTACAAAAGCTAAATGATGATGTTGCTTGTCCATGGTTTAAAACAAATATTTTAAGAAATATATTTTTTGATACCAGCCTTATTCTCTCTTTGCTTGGCTTTCTGTTGAACCCTTGTCTCTTCAGTTAAATGTTCATGGTGGCAGCAGTCTTCAGAACCGCTCCAAGCGTTTTGAGGATGTGGTGTCAGAGGTTCCAGGCCCTGGGGCCTACAATGTGTCGCCTGCCTCAAAAAAGGCACACAGGGCTGTGACAGCTAATGTAGGACACCCTGGAAGGCCTGGCAACAAAGTGGTAAGCATATGGCTGAAGATAGGAGGGCATAGTACATGAGTAGTACTGACACTTGCTACTTTTATTGTATTATGTCATACATCTGTTCTTCTGAAATACTCAGTTATCACAGATGGCAATGGCTGTATAATGCTGAATATGCCTGCATATCCACTTTAGTGCTGTTATTTCTTGGCCTTTCAAACTTTTCTAACTCTTTGTGTTTGGTGTACATAAACAGGAAGTTTTGGGCAAAATCCCACTGGCAGGCGTAATACCCATTTTAATACTGCTATTCTTAGAATAAAGCAAGTAGAAGAGACTTGCACAATCCAAAGCTGGTACAGAAGACTCTTCATCCTGTTTGTGCTGGTTTGAGTGTTGAGTGCACTTACAAACTCGCATTCTATATCATATATGAACTATGGAATAATGGTATTGAATGACACAGTATCTTGTTTATCCCTTTTGTAATTTTTTCAAGAATATATGCAAAAATCAGCTATAAGTAAATGATTTACAAGCTGTTATCTGTGGATATTAGTGGATACCTAACTTGGTGCGTTTGAAACTTGCTCCTCCAGAGCTGAACGCGAGCGTCTTATTTTTTTATGCTAGTTGTAATTAACCAAAAAGCAAGAATGTACATTTACATTACTCCCAGATCCTAGAAAGTTAGTAGAAAAACTTCCTGGCATTTTTTTCATTTGATTTCTTTTGTATGTTCCCTCAGTATCTCTGGTTTCTATTGCACTGGTGCAGTTCTACTTTTTACTTCTTTTTCTCTTCATCGTGCCCTCACTATCTTTTGCTGATCTTCTGTCCCTCATTTATGGTTCTCCCTCTCGCTCTGTCCCTCTCTCAGTCTCGTCTTTTATTGGCCCCAGGCAGTGCTCAGCTGCTTTGTAAGCCAGGGCATTTTTTTCCAACAGAAACCCTGACTTTTTGCTTTACCCTTTCTGCTTTTCTCCTGCCTTTTTTCCCTCTTTGCATTGGCTGCAGGCTAAAGGTCTCCAGCTAGCTCTTCAGTCAGACATTCCATCCATTCCCTCCCCGGGCCAGGCCTATGGCTATGAAGAGGATGCCCGGGGTGTCCTCCGTAAGCAACAGCCCCCTTCTAAGGACACAACCCTGGGGCCAGCCTACTACAGTCCGCTGCTGGTAAGGACAAATACACACAGACAGTTTCGAAGTCCTGTTGAAGTTTGAACATTCATCCATCAGAAAAGGTGAAACCCTCATTTGTGAATGCATGTGTGCTTTCATTAATCAGCACGAGTATGTGTCTGAGTGTACTTTCTCTTCCATGAGGCAACATCCATTAGTGTTAGGTAGATCTAATGCACCGCTGAACCCCCACCCCACCTCATTCACTTGGCCCAAAAACCATTTCCATAGCTAATGAATGCAGCTCCACTTTAAAAAAGCCACAGTGCACCAATGCTCATCCATTTTACATGCCAACAAAGAGAGCCATTAGTAATTATTCTTCAAGCTATATTACTGTATTCACTTAAAATAATGCACACGCCTGCTGGTCTGGCTCTCAATTAAGTAATTTTTCATCTGTTAATGACCTGAGGAAGTCAACAGCGTCCTTGAGTGTTGGCCGAGGTTGTGTCAACACACCGGCGCAGGCACAGAGGCGTGCTGTGATTTAGGGCTATCAGCAGTGCATCCATCCATGGCTCTTTTTCTTTTTTTTTCTCCTTTGACTCAGCTTCTGTTGCTCTCCCTTTGAAGGTTCGACCTCGGTATCTGTCTGTCTCCTTCCCTCTGTTCATCCGTCTGACACACTTATTTCTTTAAACTCAAACACTTCCCCCACCCCGTGCTCTGACTGAGTTCAAAAGTGTGCAGAGGAAGAATTAAGTGGTTGTCTGAGGACATAACTTCAAAGTGCCTGGAACAATCTCTGAATGATAAGACATTAGAAAGACATCAGAAGAACAAAACTTTTTTTTATCTTTGTGTTATTGAGAAGCACAAAAACATGTTTAATCACTTTTATTTACAGATATGATTGGACTCTGTATTTACGAAACAACATCGACTGACTGCTGTGTATTAAATTGGCCAAATCAACATAGTACACAGGATCAGAGTCAGACTGCTAAGCTGTATATTACAGATTTCTCACTGATATATTGGTTAAAGTACATATGATGGTTCATATGTTAAATCCATGAATAATGCAGTAAGAACCACTTGATATTTTGTTAGTTCACAGTATTGTGCAGTATTAAATTTAGCAGATTAACAGCCATCCAGATGGTGATGTGGAATGCAGACTCTGCAGACCCCAAAATCTGTTGTATAATATCTGCTGCTTTGTTTCTTCAGCTTTCAGCTGTGCACAGCATCGTCACCATGTCAAGTTATGCTCTGTGAACACTTATTGATGATAGCCAGGACATGTGATGACAAATTACTGGGCAAAAGTCGTGTTATGAACCAGGGATGTCAGATTTATTTTACTTGACAGCCCAACTGATCTCTAGTGAGACAGATAAGTAAAAGAGGTAAAGCCATTACATAAGAACCTATAAAAATACATTTTATATCTTTTATGTTATTTTCTAAAAACATATGAAAATATACATTATTTTTCATAGTGTTATATCACCATTATTTCACAAAGCAGAAAAATAAGTGCACATTCAACATAATGGCTCAGTTTTTCTAGTCAGTCATTCTTGCTGTTATTACAAAAATCTAAGCAATATATCAGCACGGTTCTCTGATTTAACCAGGAAACATGCTTCAGTGTGCTATGGCAGACCATTGTTAATGTATTTACCAGTTAGACCTTATAGCTGACAATGACTAAGACTAAGAGTTTTGATCATAACTCTCATGGTGTAAATTATTATTAAGGATTTGCAACGCAATCCTTTGTGGTGCAAAATACACCAAAAAGATAAAAAAATCAGACCCTTCTGTTGATTTCACACTTTGAAACGTCTTTATTTATGTTGTTCTTTTTAATATGTCAAATATTTGTATCACTTGTCAGACCTCTTATTTTATTTTATACCAGCAGGCTTTTTTAATTTCTTTCTTTTTTTTTTTTTTTAAAAGCCTATGAGAATGATAGTTTGTCCATAATACACCATACAATCAGGGTCCTAACATAATGCATTAGTCATTTTACACATAATCAGCATTTGGCACATTGTGGATAAGTTTACGTAACACACAATTAGGAGTTTCAATGTGTTGAACCTGCCACAAAAACAGCCCTACCAGCCCTTTTTTCTAGTCTCCTTTTTCAAATTTTTATCTAAATAATACATATCTTGCCTTTCCATTTCATCATATCTGAATGCACATCTTTATGCCCTCTATTTGCAATGTTGTTTTTGCTTTTAAAAGCTTTCCTTGACATAAATAGGCAATTTGTGACTCTGAGTTCAGTGCCGGCTGCGAAATCATCATAGTTTGTGTCTGTATGCAGTAGAGTGTTGCTTTTTTTTGAACATCCTTGTTACCTATCTCCCTTCCTTGAAACCTGATTGTGGGATCATAGGGGGCCTAACCTCAGATCTTGTCCTCCAGTCACTGTTAAAGTTGAAATAAGGAGACAGGCACCACACAGAGTTTGAAACTTTTTAAGACTGCCTGGCAGTACCTCCATAACCTGCCTCACATAATAAACACAGACAGTTGGGTCAAGGAAGAAGTTAAAAGAGAAATGAAAAAATGTTTGCAGCTTTGATTTTTTTTTTAAATCTAGCAAAAGTTTTTTTGTGTTTTTTCTGTGTTCAGTTTTGAGCTGCAAGCAACAGACTTATGCCATTGTCAGAAACATGTATTATTTGAATTGAAGACCAAACTGCGAAGAAGGCTACTTATATGAATCACATATTATGAACAGAATGCTGTAAAACATTTAATCTGTTCTTATATTTAGTAGAGCTACAGTCCATCCATTGGGTATTGTGTCAGGAAAGGCACTGGGTAAAAAAATCAGCTTAATCATATAAGCTGCTCTGTTATGGTGACTCCTTGTGAATGAGGCAGCAGCAGATAATTGTTTGAATTTGGGATTGATGATACTGTAACCAATACATTATCACCAATCTAAACAGGAAAATAGATGCATAGTTTTTAGATTAATAATATATATACATGTATTTATTAATATGTAATATAATATCAGCGCTTATTGGCATGTGTGTGCATATATAGGACACAAAAAAGCATTTGAATATCTTAATATCGGTCATGAATGTTCACCATTTAAACAAATAACATCATTCTTTCCTCCGCCCTACTCCCTTCTCATTCTCAGTTAGAAGACACTCACTGCTGGTACAAGAGTGCCAACAATAATTTAGCTATTAGTTGCATTAATTTTTATTTATTTAGTTTATTTATTTATTTATTTTTTTAGCTCATTCACAGAATGTCATATCAATCAGAGAAAGAATCCAATATCGAGTGGCTGTGTGAGGTGTTGATCGTTTCAGTGTTGGTGTGAAGGGGACTGCTTTCATACTAGTTTCAAATATAGATGTTGTTGTGCAACCATTGTTGTTTTCAACAAAGTGTAATCTTCCCTCTGTGGCTCTTATGCAAACTTGTTTCCACTGCTGAAATTTATTTGTTTTTTTTTGCCATCTGTAAGTTAAAATTGGGTTGCTTTGTCAGCTTTGAGTTATTTATTCTGCATATTGATTAGCAAGTCTCAGACTGGGTAAATGCAGGTAAAAATGCAGGGAGAGAGAGAGGGAAAGGGAAGGCTGTTTTTGAGAAAAATTCACAAATGTTACCTCAAATACTGCAGACTAGTACCCACTAGAGAAGTCTTTCTTAATAGTTAAGCTGTAAAATGGAAGTGCAAGCTATAAAATATAGAGGATCTACACCTGGCATAATTTCATATTTCCTTCAATCTCCAAGAATATGGGCTGGAAGACAAATATTCTTCTCTTCTCTTCTCTTCTCTTCTCTTCTCTTCTCTTCTCTTCTCTTCTCTTCTCTTATTTCCAGGAGACAAGTTCTACACAGAAATATAAAGGAATCCACTTTGGCAACATGACAGGGAGGAGATCTGAGGAGAAGGTGGATGTGGGACCAGCTCCAGGACAATATGACCCCGAACTGTGAGTATCACATCATTGCTAGAAACAGTCCCATCCATCCATCCATCCATCCATCTTCATCCGCTTTATCCGAGGCCGGGTCGCGGGGGCAGCAGCCTAAGCAAAGA